GCTGGCTTCATCCTGACTCAGACATGGGGCCTGAGATTCTACTTTGGTTTTACTGTTTCTATGACTTTATATGTCTGCCATGGTACTATGCCTTATATTGAGAATATTCCTCTTCTAGAGTGTTCACATTCATTGTTAGCAGAAATTGATAGTGACAATTGCAAGAAAATGATCTAGGGCAGGTGTTCCTAATCCTTTTTGTGCTGCAGGGCCCTTTGTAATCTAGTAAAACCCTCAGACCCCTTCTTAAAATATTTATTAAAATGCATAAAGTAAAATACATACAATGACAAGGGAGACCAATATATTAAAAAACAATTTGGTAATATATGTGCTTCTTTAGTAATGCATTAAGTAACAAGATTTAGAGGTGGGACTAATAACCACTGTAATTTTGAATTATTGATGAGCTTAATGTTTTGAGATACCAGCAATAGCCATAATATGATATGCAAACCTGTTGCTTCTTTTGTTGATTGTGTAGATTAAAATGGACACAAATGCCTTGCAACTCTTCCTATCAAGAGTGGAGTTTATTTCCTCACTCCTGGACCCACAAAGAAAGCAGAAATGTGCTGGGCTCCAGGAGCTGAATGGACCTACATTCATGGGCTTCGTCCGCCTCTTCATCCACGAGCTCCCGTTGAGTGAAGAATGGTTGACGGCTTCTAATCTCTTCCAGCATCTTCTGGGCCAACACCAGCTTCTCGGAGATTTCCTCAGAGCTAAGATCTTGCTGCTCCCCATAGTACAGCATCTTGTTGTTGATCTCTGAAAGGAAGGACATGATGAGAGAAGGCAGCGGGGAGAGATGACTGGGCCTTTTACAGCGAAGCCATTGAAAACACGGGGGAGGACAGGCATACTGATGTTCACACTGCAAATACTGATGCCAGCATCTGAGTACAATGTTGATTCCAGGGAGAAGTAAAACCTGAGGAAATCACTCCTCTTTGCTTCCTATTTGGTGTCTTCAGAATGGGAATGGGATTAACACAATGCCTGCCCTGATTTCATGGAAACTTGTGTCTGGTTTTTGAATCACATTTACATAGTGGTTCAAAAACATTAATATTTAAGGCACACAAGTCTGCAGTCTTTGATCAATCTTTTATATAAAACTAGAAGTCTGGTGCACGAAATTCGTGCATGGGTAGGGTCCCTAGGCCTGGCTGGCGATCAGGGCCAATCTGTGTAGCAACCAGCAGGGTGATTGGGAGGCCCCCACTGGCACCCGCCTTGGCTGGCCTGGTGCTGCCCGCTTGACGATCCTAACCCTGCCACCACCACCAGTTGCCTCCCTCTGCGGGGCGACTGGTGGGGTGATCGGGGGGCCCCGCTGGCACCTGCCTTGACTGGCCTAGGGCCTGCAGGCTAAGGGCAGCTCCTGCATTGAGCGTCTGCCCCCTGGTGGTCAGTGCCCATCACAGTGACTGGTCGTTCCACCGGTCGTTCTGCCGTTCAGTCGATTTGCATATTGGGCTTTTATTATATAGGATACATAACTTGGAGAAAATGTTCTGAGGTATCTCCTGTCATATGTAGGATACATTGGCGATATTAATCATACTTTAGCCAAGGAGTTATCAAGGCTTTAAGCCAAAATTAGAGTATACTGTATTTGTTCAGGTGAGTCTTTCAGATGGTTCTACAGAGTAGATATACCAAAAAGGCTTGTGAATTTCTTCTCATATGCATTTTTTTTGCAATTGCTATCTGCCTTCTGTATATGACTGTTGGTATTTTGACTCTGGGTCATTTTCACCCCATGCCCAGAAGTAGGATGGAGAATTTTAGAACTGGAGGGACTGCTGAGGTTCAGAGGGATTAAATGAGCTGCCGAAATATTAGCAGAGCTGAATAGTTCTTTGACTCCCCGTTTCTACTACAGATGATCAGATGAAAATGATATAATTGCCAACTTGTGCTATAGGAGCTCCAGGAGGAAGCATTCTATCTTCCTGGCATAAATGAAACTGTGTGTCTGTGGTTTACTGTGATATGTGGTTTGGCAGACAAACACTGTTGTCACATAAGTTATACCAAATAAGGGCTTGTATTTTCTATGGCTAATAGCTTGAAGGTCGCCAGTAGTTATTTTAGAGATGGCTGGGAATAGGAATGACACACTAGTGGTGTTGTGCAGCATTCCTGAATTGTGAAGAAAGGGAGATAAATGAGGAAAGAAGTTTTAATACTAGAAATACTACTCAGAAAATTATAGGGACACCAAGATATGCTAAAAAAACTTATGAAGGGATTTAAACATTCACTTTTCAAGAAAGTCTAAAACACTAACTCCTGAAATAAACTAAACATAGCCCCCCCCCTTAGAACTAGTATTTGCAAGGCTAATTCTTTGGTGTTTTGATAAAAATATTATACATACAATTCTGATCTGTTTTATTTTAGCCACTTCTGGTAGAGGTTAGAAAAAGGAAATGTAGACAATAGCATTTTTGCCACTGCTCTTTGGAGACTGTTCATACATTATTATAAAAAGGTAAAAACTGGCCCTGACCGGTTTGGCTCAGCAGAGAGAGCATCGGCCTGCGGACTGAAGGGTCCTGGGTTCGATCCCAGTCAAGGGCATGTACCTTGGTTGCGGGCACATCCCCAGTAGGAGGTGTGCAGGAGGCAGCTGATCGATGTTTCTCTCTCATCGATGCTTCTAACTCTCTATCCTTTCCCTTCCTCTCTGTAAAAAATTCAATAAAATCTATTTTTTAAAAAAAGGTAAAAACTGATGGAAATTACTTTCCCATTTACATTATTTTGTAATTTTTTTCCATTTGTTCTTATGCTTAAAGCAGTGATTTTCAACCTGTGTGCCAGAGCACACTGGTATGCACAAGAATTTTTAAAACATGCAATACCCATCTAGTCAGGGATATGGACCTCTTTTCCCTTAGACTGTCAAATAAAAAGATGGCAATAGCTGTCTGGTGAGAATGAATCAAAATACCTTTTTTTGGGGTCAGATTGGCAAAAATATATCATAAATTTTTTGGTGTGCCACGGAATTTTAGTAGTCAGTTTATGTGTGCCATTAGGTTAAAAGTCGCTGGGTGGTGAAAGGGTTTAGAAACTTTCTAAATAAGAGGGCTTAGAAACTTTCCTAATGAAATGCTGTAGAATAAAACTTTGAGTTACAGAAGTAAAAGTAACTTATTTTCTCCGAATGGCTTACTAGGATGAACGCTGGCTTTATTTGCTACCTAGAGGGACATTTATTCCTTAATTAGATGAGGTCAGCTAATCTAGGCTTAATCTCACTTTTAGAACAAATCAATACTAACTCTAAAATGTTAGAGAAAAAGAGTATTTTATTGGGAGATGCAAAAGCATGCAATAATTAGGATGGGAGTGGGAAGTGTTTCAAATGTATGCCATTTGTTTTATTGTGCATTATAGGCACCAAAGGAAATATAGCAAATGATTAATTTTGGCTCAGGATATCCATTTTCTTGGAATATGCCCCCTATACCTCAGTATAAAGATATGAATCTCCCACTGTGGGTCCCTTTACTGCCATTGTGCCCTAGGGTGCAGTTGGTCTTGTCATCCAGCTCTGAATATATAGGATAATAAAAACTATGGGAACACACACACACTGCTTCCTAGCAGACTCTAACCCAAGGAATTTCTCTTTATCTTAGAACAAAGTTGCCTCTTTTCTGTTGGTAAATGAAGGCTGGTTTTCAATGCACCATCAAAATAGGCTTTAAAATGCAACCTGTATTTACCAGAGGCCAGAGCACAAGTAAGTGAACCTTCAAGGGGAAAGGTCAAATTACCACAAGCTTTTGGGCCAAGAAATCTCACATATACACCCCTCCCTGTTTTTAGTCTGGATTGGGGACCAGAGCATGTTGCCTGCCTGATTCTTGGGAAAGCGCGTCAGAGACAGCTCAGGGCCATTTGGGTTAGTAGACAGTTTACGGCCCCTCTAAAAGCAGTGTTTTTGCTGTCAGTCATTAAGAAAAACGTGAATCCTGCTCAACTGCTGCATTTTAGAGACACCATGGCATGCAATTTCCTCTGCCGAAAAGATATTTTGGCATTTCCCTTCTGTAAAAGGCCTGGAAAGTAGGTGACTCTGTACATTTATTCTTGAAAACTTACAGATTGTAAGGAAGGATGAGTGCTCAGAAATCCCAGGTAAACCAACTTGAAATGCAGACCTCATATAAGTTCAAACCTATAGCACTCTAACAGTTCTTGGCACGATCGTAAGCACTAACGGTAGCTATTAGTTTTTATTGTTGTTAATAACAGGAATGATGCCTTGACATGGAGCTGAACCAGAAGAGGATATATTTACCTTGGATTGTATCCCTCATGTCGTGGGCTTGCTCTACAAGCTGAGTTGCGTGGTTAATGGTATCCATACTTTCCTTTTCAGCCAGTTGGCTCTTTCTTGAAGCTTGACTTTCCTATAAATAATCCGTGTAAACACCAGATTAAATTTAGGAGAAGGAAATGTTGTATATGTATATGTATATGTGGGGGTGGGTGGGAATAATGTATTTTAAAACCGGAAATTTCCCTGACAAGGGAAAGTTCTATAACATAAAATGGTCCCAGAAACCATGTATGAAGGCTGCTGTGATGACCAGCTTTAGGACTACAGAATGCTACAGAATGCTGCAAAATCAGATGGCATTCCTCTGCCATCAGTCACAGCTCAACCCAAACCAGCTGGCTTTCATAGCTGATTTACCCTTTGAATTTTTACTGTATCTCAAGATGACAGACTAGGAAATTTCCCAAGTGTGCTGAGCAGTTTGACAGTGTACACTCAAGAGCTTTAAGCTTCAAAGGGAAAATTGTCAAGAAAGCAGGCAGATCTTGAAATGCTCCACGCATCCCGTGGCTCCTGGGTGGTCCAATCACTGGTGAAACTGAATCACCGCAGAGATTCAAAGGCTTAGGCTCACTGGGCTAAATGCTGTTTTTAGTGCTGCACTCCAGATTCCCATCAACAGCGATGGCACTTGAGCACAAATAACTGTTCAGGCAGATTTGGCTCAGAGCGAACGGCGCTCTTCTCCGGGAAGCTGACTCCATTTCTCAACTCGGGAGCTGCTGTTTCGGAGTTCCCACGAAGCATTTGTTAAAATGAAATCCCAACCCAAATGTGGCTCCTGAAGAAAGGATGTGTGGGGGTGCATGTGTATGTGCATGTTTCTCTGTGTGTGCAAGGACAGAAGCTGATCTAAGACATGGTTCAAGGCCAGGACACTTGTCTGCATGCAAGGCATGGGGGCCGGGTACTTCCTTTTGGCATTAGAAAGACTGACTCATGGGTCCTATTTAAGAGGAGGAGAACTTCAGTCTGACACTCGGTGGGTGCCCACTTGCTGCATCTGGTGTGGTGTGGTTTTGTTTTGGCTCAGCTCTGTCACAAAGGGCTACAGCACCTGGATGGACTGCAGGGTGACCCGCCACACAGACCACTGCTAACCACTGCACAGTTGTCCCAGGACAGAAAAGTGGTGTTTCAGACTTCTCTCCTTTCACCTGGTTTTAGCCAGTGGATTATGCCATGATTATACCTGGAATGTTTTTATACTTCCCAGGCCTAACCCAAGCAAGTGGCCCTTGGTCAGGGAAGAGAATGCAGAAATCATATCATAGCTCTGGCCGGTTGCTCAGTGGTTAGAGTGTTAGCCTGTGCACCGAATGGTACCTGGGTTGCAGGTTAGGTGTGCGTGCAAGAGGCAACCAATGGATGTGTCTCTCACATCAATGTTTCTCTCTCTCTCCCTCCCTTCCACTCTCTAAAAATCCTCTGGTGAAGATTAACAAAACAAAAAAGAAAGAAAGCATATCATAGCAAGCATAAGCTCTAGAGGCTTTTTTTTCGGGCAAGTCTGAAATTGCCTCCACACAAAGCGCCCTGTGCAGCAGTAATGCAGCCATCAGTCCCTTCCCTAAACAGCGAGCTCTCTGAATGGACACTGTATTCTGAGCCAATGCTTTCCTTCATCCAATTCCTATCTTCCTCTTGGCTTATTCCAAGGCTTTCCAGTATCACAAAATTTGTGGTCATTTTAAAATTAAATGATGCAGGGCATAAGGTTAATATTATTCTTGATGTCACCTCTCTCCACTTTTTATTTTTTTATTATTTTTAAAATATATATATTTTATTGATTTTTTACAGAGAGGAAGGGAGAGGGATAGAGAGTTAGAAACATCGATCAGCTGCCTCCTGCACACCCCCCACTGGAGATATGCCCGCAACCAAGGTACATGCCCTTGACCAGAATTGAACCCGGGACCCTTCAGTCCGCAGGCCGCCACTCTATCCACTGAGCCAACTGGTCAGGGCTCTCTCCACTTTTTAAATATATGAATACAATAGTTTAAAACTTTAAAACATTTAACAAGTTGATTTTTGATATAGCTTAAATTGAATTATATTTGAACAGCACAACATCATATTTTTGGCTTTGGCTTCAACCTTCAAGGGAAAATGCTATTGTTATTAATGTGTTCATTTCACTTATTATGGAAACTTTGAATTGAAGCAATGGAAGACAGCTGGAGGATGTCCTCTCTCTAAGAAAACCTTTTCTTCCTGACAAACACCAGAGGGTGCGTATTTATGTTTAACAAAAGACTCCGTGGCAGAGGAACCACCATTACTTAAAAATAAATAAATAAATAAATAAATAAATAAATAAATAAATAAAATATTTTAAGAACTAACTAAATAAATAAATAAATTGCAAAATTACTGGCTATAATATATAGTAGTGCCTATGTGAATGTTATATTTTTTCTGTGACTTTGCTTATGGAAGAAAACTAATGACATAGACATATGATAAAACAGGTGCACCTTGCTCTAAGAAAAGCTGAGATTAAAAAATTATCTCACAACCATAAATCAGTTAATGATTTAACCTGCAAATGAAGTAAGTGTATAAAGAGTAATGTATCTAGAATACTAACTAAAAAAAATCAATCAGATTGAGGGTGATAATCAGATCTACCTAGGGCAGCCGTGGGCAAACTCCGGCCTGTTTGAAATGAATAAAACTAAAAAAAAAAAAAGACCGTACCCTTTTATGTAATGATGTTTACTTTGAATTTATATTAGTTCACACAAACACTCCATCCATGCTTTTGTTCCGGCCCTCCGGTCCAGTTTAAGAACCCATTGTGGCCCTCGAGTCAAAAAGTTTGCCCACCCCTGACCTAGGGTGATCATATATTTTATTGTTTAAATGGGGACACTTTTGAGAGTGAAAGGAGGATCTTTTAACAATCACTCTGGGAGATAAGCATAAACAGGAACAGATAGTCTCGAACAAAACAACAGCAGGAATATCGGCATGCCTTTCAGAATCTGTATAGTGACATCTACTTCTGTGGGTCTGCCTGCCTCCTACACATTAAGACTTCCAAATGCCTGTCCAGCCTTATGCCTTCCCTGAGGAGCAGACTCAGATTTCTAACTGCCCTCTGGGCATCCATAGATACCTCATCCTTAAAATGTCCAGGGTAATCCATTCCGTACTTTTAGTTTTAGTCATCCATTTCTCCAAGCCAGAGCTTTCCTCCTTGTTTATCCTCATATTTAATTGATCACTGAATTTGTTTTGATTCCACTTGTCTTTCTGGCCCCCGTCCAATTCCCCACTTCCACAGTCCCAGTTGATCCCTATTCACTGTAATGCTTTTCAAATGAAGACAATGTAGCAATCAACCACACTTAATTTTGGCTCAGTATATCCATTTTCTCCTGGGGCAGTCTCCTAATTTGTGTCCCTATCTTCAGATCTTTACTCACCAATCTATCACCCTTATTGAGGAGGAATGCTTCTGAAATTCCAAGTCTGATCAGCCCATTGTTCTAAGTAAATGCTTCAGTGTCTTCCAAAGTCCACAGGGTGAAATTCATAGGTTCTTAGCTTGGTGGACAAGGTTCTTCATGATCTGGCCTCTGAGAACTTCTTTAGCATTATCTCCTGCTCCTTGATTTACAGTTAATCTTCCAGAAGGCCAAGGCCAACGTCCTTCTAGTCCCAGGAATACAGTGTGCTTTACATCTTTCTGCTTTGTGGTAAATTTCCTTTGCTTGGAAGTATTTGATAAACTCCTAGTCATTCTTCAATGCACAGGCCTATGCTCATGTTCTCTGAGAAGTCTCCCTACGGTGCCCCTGCTAAAACAATTATTTCTTCCTTAGAATTATCTCTTTAGGCTGTATCATGCCTCGATTATCAAATGCTGTTACATATATATTTTTACATGCCTGTTTTCCCTACTAGACCATGAGCTCTTTGAGAACAGGGGTCTTATTGTATTCATTTCAGTATCTATAGCACCTAGCACAATGACCGTTATATACCAGGTGTTAAGTAATGCTTTTGGAATTGAAACATTTTTTATTTTTTGTCCTGCCCTTTTTTCAGGATCAGAAATGAGGCTCAGTTGCTTTTTATGTGTGGAGGTGACCTATTTTCCTTCCGTTCCTAAAGATCTCTTTTCATCAAATGCATGGGTATCCCTTAGGAGGTCCCCAGAAGTAGGGGTGGGAAAGGGCTATAGCATTTCCCCAAAGGGGGTAGAGGACTTGGATATGAATTGGGACAAAACCAATAACTTCAGGTTAATGTAAATTGTGAGATTTGGGTCACATGAAGTTCATGTGACAGGTAATTTGCATACAGAGGTATTTTCAAGTTCAAAAGGCAACATTAGTGTGACTTTTATCACTGTGGGAACCTACCGTGAAATCTTTCACTCTGAAGCCAAGCATTACTTTCTTGATAGAAATCTTTCTAAGACAAAGTTTTTCTTAAATCCTTCTTAGAATAAACTATGGATTGTTCTAGACTAAGGGCTTGAGGATACTTGAGAAGTCCTTACGACAAACTCTGGGCATTGATTTTGAAATATTTAGCAGGTTCTTGTACCATCAGGACTGTTGGAGTCAGAAGGACATTAGTTTCAGTAAGAATAAATGAAAACAGCTAGGTGAACGTTCCAGTAGCTTTTTCATCAACCTCCTGCTTTGGTGGTGTTCTTGTTGTCTTGGAGCCTTTTTTACTGGGCTGTTATTTTCAAGCTTGCATTATTTTTCTCTATGAAAGCCTGCATTTGAAGTATATCCAAAGTAGAAAAGCTATACAACAAAATGGTCTGTAACTCTGTCTGAGCTGTGGGAGGAACGAATCTTGGTGAAAACACATCCTCAAGAATTGAGACACTTTTGGCAAGTTCCAACCATGATACAAGAATGAAATCACAATGAGCTTTTCGCAAAGATTTCTTTCTGGGTACTTCCTTTGAAACTTAAGAGATCTCACTGCTTTTCAAATGCTGGTAGTTGGATTAATATGCGACATTGTATGGGAAACAAGGACAATTTTCATGTGCATTTCAAAGTGGTTGAATCTTCCAAGGGTCCAAGTAATTAACATTTTTAGAAGCTTAATCTCTTAAAATTTTAAGAGCTCCAAGGTCAAAAGAGATTATCAAAGTTATTTTAATCTTTATTTTTGTAGAAAGTGAGAATTGTTTTTTAAAAAGCACTTCCACAGTTTATGTGAAATACCAGGATAGGAAAGCAGAAATTCCAGAGTGCTCTGGACAGCACTGGGGGAACATAACAAGGAAAAAAAAATGTGTTAAACATTTTAAATGTTGAATATGGCGCCTTGTGGCTTAGTTGTATTTTTTTTTATTACTACAGAGGCAGGATATTTTTCCATTAGGCTGCTGGGGAGTGTATTTAATAGTCTCTCACACTGACTCTGCTCAAATTTCAATGCTTTTGTGGTTAATTTCTGAGAGCTTTTATGTCATATTTCCCTTAATATTGTTCTTAGTCTCATTGACTTTTTCATTTATTTAGTTGTCTTTACTGGGTATTTGAAATTTTATCTTGTCATACCTATTATATCTTTTTATTGTAATTCCTCATGCTGTATTTAAATGTAATTGTCATTTTCTTTTAATTTCAAATAAATATTTAGTTCTGTTTTCTTGCGAATTTGAGATTTAAACTCAAGTCTTTAATCTGTCTGAGATTTTATTTTAGTACTAGAGGCCTGATGCACTTAATTAGTGCAAGAGTAGGCCTTCCTTCCCCCGGATGCCAGCAGCCCTGGCTTCGTCTGGAAGGTCGTCCAGAAGGATGTCCAGTCTAATTAGCATATTACACTTTTATTATTATAGATATGGTGTAAGGTGAGGGTTGAAAGTGATTTTTTTCCCTGCCAAAGTGCAAAATTGCTTTCTCAGCATCATTTCTCTTCTTTCTGTTTATTATTTAATGCATCCTTTAGCAGACATTTAAATTTTATATTCTACATAGTAAAGCTTATTTCTGGATGCTCTATAGCTCTTAGTCATAAAATGCTAAGGCAAACAGCTGAACAACTATTCTAATTGAAATATATCAACCATATTAACCAACAGCAAATATTAAAATAGTTCCTCATATAACACAGTTTTTCAAGGAAACCAGTCAAAATGGGAAGAAACAGTAGAGACCGAGTCTACTCTTGATTTATTTTAAGGTACTTGAGTCACTACATATTTTCTGAGCTGTGTTGAGCCTCAGTTGTTTGTGACTTGCTAGGCTCACACCAGCTAAGTCCTTTCTCTGAAGGTAGTTCCAGAAACTGAATACATACCCTTTCAGCTAATGCGTCCAGGTCAGACAGAAGGCTTTTCATTGTGTTCTCAGCGTTGTTGATTTGTATCTTTCTTAGGATATACTGGTTTTCTCTTTCTGACAATTTTGTCTGTGGAAAAAAATGTTTTGAAAATAATCAGTAGACGTGCACACCAGGTTTGTAAAAATAAACACAAAACTGTTCCCGTGTTAGAAGACTTAGAGTAGAATGTGAGTCTCTGTTCCCCAAATGGTGGTGGGTCTGCAGGCTGTAGCAGGCTGGTATAGAGGTTGGGGAATGCATGGGGGTTCTCAGAGCCCTAAGGGATAAAATTCTTCCAGCTCTGCTCACCAGGCAGACCCTGGGCTGTGCTGTGCTGGCCATGGGGAAAGGGTACCTTTTTCTAATTTGTACAAATGCACAGTATAGACTGTTGGTGGCCTTGGGTGTCTGACCTTTAAAATGTCAATTTGGGAAGGCTTTGGAAGAAATGATCAACTCACACAAATTAAAGTAAATGGAGCTTAGTCCAAATGTGGTTTTACTCAGATTACTTTGGAGTAGGCTCACCGAACTTGGCACTGCCTTTCTGTCAGCTATAATTATATCTATCTTGAAGTTGTGTTGTTGGGGAAAGAGGATTCAAGTGGCATCTAGAGGCCTGAATCTGGGTGACTCCCCTGAGAATTAGCGCCTTCATGTGTCCAAACTGATGAGTTTGGACAAGAAGGATTTCTAGGTTTGGAACAGAATGCTCACTAAGATTCCATTCACTTCAACAATGTTGTCATTTTTTTTGTTTTGCTTTTTGCATAATATGGACAGTTGCTGTGCATGTCATCTGCACCTCCACAAAGTAATGAGCACTTACTATGCTAGGTACTGTTCTAAGACACTACCCATATCAACTCACTGAATTCTTTCAACAATCCATGAGATGGTTCAATAATTTTTCTCAATTCCAGGTGAGAAAACTGAAGAATAAAGAGGTTAAATAACGTATCCAAGGTTACCTAGCTAGTAAGTGTCAGAACCAGCATTTGAATGCAAACAATCTAAATTCAAAGTCTATGCTCTTAACTACTATACTAAATTGACTAACAAAGTTTAAAAAAATTACACTGGTATTAATTCTATTGTCCTTTCAGCTAATTATCATTGTTTTCAAAAAATCTGTTGGTTGTGATAGAAGCCCATGATTTAGAGGGGGAAATAAAACCACTTCTTAAAGCTTAGATATACAAGCACAGTTCATCTGTTTCCTGCCTTTAACTCGTTTATTAGAGATTAACCACAGGATCTATGAGGAGAAACAGAGCATGTGAGTATGTTGTGTGTGTGAGTGTGTGTGTGAGTGTGTGTGTGAGTGTGTGTGTGAGTGTGTGTGTGTGAGTGTGTGTGTGTGTGTGTGTGTGTGTGTGAGTGTGGGAAAATGAGGGGGAATATGACAGTGAGAAGGTAAGGTCAGGGTAGGAGATAGAGATAGAGATAAAAATTGAGATAGAGAAACAGAGAGACACACAGAGAGAAACGTTTCTAGAGAAACTTCTCAAAAACATTGCACATTGAGGGTAAGGTAATGGTAAGTCTGTGGTAATCACTTGAATGACCAATGTACAGCTTCACCAAGGAAATAAGTGTTTCACATCCCTCAATAGTTTTGTACATAGATACCAGTTTTTTAGTCATTTCATTTTCAGTATTAACCTCTTTTATAGATGGCAGCTCTTGGTTGAGCTGAAGATCATGCTTACAATTAACTTGTCATAATTTCCTAGGGCTAACCATCTGTAATATTGCCATGGGACTCAGATACCAAAACTGATAGGGGTTACTAGGAGTGCCTCAGTGAAACCAGAATGAAAACGCGCAGAAGGTAAACATTTCTGCATACTTTGAGGAGGTAGATGGTGGAGTTCATTTCATTCACGTGTCTATGGGCAGCGGCACCGGAGGACACACTCAACACACCGGATTTGCTTTCTTCAATGGAGAGCGCGGCTAAGCGAAGGTCATCGGTTAGATCCCAGATGCACTTATCACAGCCTAGAAGTAGAATGGGCAGGTCATTTCTTCAAAATGAAAAGTCAGCGGGGAAGCATGCTGCCTTCAGTAGATCACTACATGAACTTCCTTAGTTAATTCTATTTCCATCTTTGTTTCATGAGGTGCTGTTCTGGGTCACAGAACTAGTCCTTATACTCAAAGTCGAGTAGAGTCCAAGATGAGCCAAACTACATCAAGCACTATCCCCACTTAACACATAACAAAAAGAAACAACACATGCAACAGGGAAAGTAGGTTAACATGAACACTGAGTGCTGCACTGAGACAGAAAGAAAGCATGAAAGGGACAGCCCTCTGGGATGACTCTCTTTATGTCAGGCTTTGGGCTTTTGCTTGGTGTCCACTGGTGAAGGCGGCTATTTGATAGGCACTCCTCCTTTCCTGTCATCTTTTCTCGTCTCAATTCAGGTTCTAGCACTTCTTACTCCTTGGCCTCACCCCAAGGGTGACTCCCTGAGCACCTCCCCATGGCCTGACCTCCTGTCTGGTGCAGTAGTTGCAGTTTCTCATTGCTTCTCACGTTTCGCATTTGAGTTCTTCTGACCACGGTCATCACCCACCAAGATCCCAGTGCCCTCTAGGGCACACTCACAAGTACACTCTTGGAAACTTTCCTGTTCTCTATCTCTCTCTCAGATTGTACTTTCTTCTGGAGAACTGGTAAATGGAGACTGAAGTGTTAATAGTTGTTAGTATGTTAATTAAATTTAACATGGTCTTACTCGTATTGACTCTCAGGGGAACATCAGGCTGGAGGGGAAAATGCTTAGGGCCAGGCAGGTATCATGATGTCCTTAAAGTGACCTTGCTTAGGGGACCACCTAGGTTATCAGTGTGTAAACTTTACCCTGCTTGTGCCTCTCATTCTGTGCCATCTTCTAAAATGTGATTCATCAGTAATATTAATCTCTTGTGTCCGGAGGACTCAGAAGTCAAGATATTTTTGTTTGGGGGAGGGAATACCTAATGTTAAAAAATATATAGTCTGTAAATCACTCTACTTAAAGATAAATATGAGTTACTTTTTAAAATGAAATGTATTGGGGTGATATTGGTTTATAGGGTCATATAGGTTTCAGGTGTTCATTTCTGTGATGCATGATCTGTGTGTAGCATTGTGTGTCCACCACCAAAGGCAAGTATCAAGTAATCTTTTGTCACCGTATATTTGGCCCCCTTTACACTTTTAGTAAACCACCCTCCCCCTTCCCTTTTAGTAAACCACCATGTTGTTGTCTGTGCCTATGAGTATCAGTTTTATATCCCACATGAGTGAAATCATATGGTTCTTAACTGTTTATGACTGACTTATTTTGCTTAGCACAATATTCTCAAGATCCATCCATGTTGTCACAAATGGCAGTATTCCATCTTTTCTTATGGCTGAGTAGTATTCCATTGTATACCATGTCTTCTTTATCCAATCCTCTGTCGAAGGACACTTTGGTTGTCTCTATGTCTTGGTCACTGTGAATAATGCTGCAATGAGTATAGGGTGCATATATCTTTGGGAATAAATGTTTTTTGAGTGGGGTTTTTTTTGGGGGGGAGGGGGGTAGATATCTAGAAGAGATTCCTGGGTCATATGGTAACTCTATTTTTAATTTTTGAGTAACTGCCACACTGTTTTCCATTGTGGCTGTAACAGTTTACATTCCTGCCAGCAATGAATGAGAATTTCTTTTACTCTGTAACCTCTCCAACACTTGTTACTGTATTACCTGTCTTGTTGATAACAGCCATTCTAACAGGTGTAAGGTGGTATCTCATTATACTTTTGATTTGCATTTCCCTAATAGTTAGTGGAGTTGCACATGTTTTCATATATCTGTTGGCTAAGTTTGTATGTCTTCTTGGGAAAGGTGTCTGTTTCGGCCCTCTGCCCATTTTTTAAAATTGGATTGTTTGCTTGTTTGATGTTGAGTTGTATGAGTTCTTTATATATTTTGGATATTAACCCCTTGTTGGAGCTGCTGTTTGCAAATATCATTTCCCATTCGGTTGGTTATCTTTTTATTTTGTTGTAGTTTTCTGTTGCTGTGCAGAAGTTTTTTAGTTTGGTAGAGTCCCATTCATTTATTTTTGCCTCTAATTCCCTTGATTTTGGGGTTAAATTTATAAAATGTTCTCTATGACCAAGGTCCATAAGTTTAGTACCTATGTTTTCTTCTATGTACTTTATTGTTCCAAGCTTTTGATCCATTTTTATTTAATTTTTATACAAGGGAACAAGCTATAATCTAGTTTCATTCTTTTGCATGTGGCTTTCCAATTCTCCCAGCACCACTTATTGAGGATAATGGTGCTTTCTTTTCTCCATTGTCCGTTTTTGGCCTCTTTGTCAAAATTTATTTGCCCATGTACCTGTGGTTTTATTTCTGGGCTTTCAATTCTGTTCCATTGGTCTGTGTGTCTGTTCTTCTGCCAGTCAGGTGATATGATACCTCTCTAACTTTTTTCTTTGGCTGTTCAGGGTATTTTGTGATTTCATACAACTCTGATGACTTTTTGCTCTATTTATTTAAAAAATGGCATTGGGATTTGGATGGTGATGGCATTTAATCTGTATATTGTTTTGAGTAATACAGCCATTTTAACTATGTTGATTCTTCCACTCCACTCCATGAACACGGAATATCTTTCCATTTCATTGTGTCTTATGCAATCCCTTTTAATAATGCTTTGTAGTTTTCAGTATATAGGTCCTTCACCTCCTTTGTTAAGTTTATTCCTAGGTATGTTATTCCTTTGGTTGCAATTGCAAAAGGTGTTTTCATTTCTTTTTCTGAAGTTTCATTGCTAGTATAATAGGAAAGCAATGGCTTTTTGTACATTGATTTTGTATCCTGTAACTTCACTGTATTCACTTATTGTTTCTAATAGGGGTTTTTTTGGTGGAATTTTTAGATTTTTCTATATACAGAATCATGTCATCTGCAAAAGACACTTTCATTTCTTCCTTCCTAATTTGGATGTCTTTTATTTATTTCTCTTGCCTGATTGCTCTGGCTAGGACTTCCAAAACTATGTTAAATAAGAGTGGTGAAAGTGGGCATCCTTGTCTTATTCCTGATTTTCACCATTGCGTATGATATTGGCTGAGGGTTTATCATAGATGGTGCTTGAAAAGTCATTAAGACTAGTTCTGGAAATTTGTTTTGAAATGTTTCAGCAGGTCCTTGCACCATCAGAATTGATCACTATTTGATTGATAGGAGTGACAGAAAAATCCAGGAAAGAAAGATTGCAGCTCCTTTTCATAAGGCCTGAATATTTTATTTCTGGTGCCACTTTAGATTTGGAGAGATCTGGGAAAAACCACTGAAATCTCTTGGTATCTCAGTTTTCTCAGAGTTGTAAAGCATTGTCTGTATATCATATTATCTAGTGACCTGAAGAGAAAAGGGAGAAAGGGAGCTAAAATAAACCCAGTCTTTGGGAATTATGTTTCTGAATTTGCCTTTATCCACTAGGTAAGATGCTAAACTTAAAGACTTGATAAGTTTTGTAGAGGTGTTTAAATGTAAATCACCTATTTGCAAATTAGAATCAAGTGGACAACTGAATATTTTTTGTTTAGGGTACATTTGTTTGAGGCACAGACAGGGTTAAAGCCAGGGGTGAAACTCAGGCAGTTTCTAGAGAGGGGTATTGCATAACGTTCCTTAATCCTCCACCTGCAGCACATTAGAGAAAGTGGGGTTAGTCAATCATGTACTGTTATTTTTACTTATGGTTGGGCAGTCCGTGCCTGTAGGGGGTTCAAAACTTTTTTCCAAGCATTTTCCGGTTACACTGTCACATGGGCCTCCTCCACAATTGCACACTGTGGGAAACAAAAACAAGAGATTAGGGATTCATTTCTTAGTGCTTAAAGTATGGTAATGTTCTCATGGTTTCTAGAAATACTGGCTATCAGTATATAATTATTCAATGGGCATTAATTATATTCTATGATACCGAGATTGTGCCCCTCACCCAATTAAGCCCCAGCCCAGTGAAATTTTCAAAGGAGACCCTTGGGCAAAAACAAATTTAAATTTTCTAGGACTCCTCTCACAATTTTGGGGGGGATCCTGACATGACTATTACAGCTGCTTCAGTCCAGAAAAATCCTGGTAAATTTCACAAGATACAAGATAATCATGGAGCCCATTATTCAACTGGACTCTGAAAGCCAGCCTTTCATTGCAGCCTGATTCTCCAGTTTAATCCAACTTCGGGGTTGATCATTGCCAGGTGTGAAGGAGGAGTAGTCCAGCAAGGAGAGAGTGAGGAGGCCCAAGAGCAAATCTTGGCTTCCACAGTGCCTGACCCTTGGCAAAGCTGACTCCAAACCTCCAAGTGATAGTTCTCAGTGGGATGGCTAGGAATAATGTCGTGGAAAAAATTAGGAACATATTTACATAAATTTAGAAATCCTGAGAACCCTCTATTCATCTACTGAGGATTTTCAAGATAGTCATTTGGAAAAAACAAAACAAAAATAAAACCCCCATTTCAGAGTTTCAGAGTAGAAATTAATTTGTGATATTTAAAAAGGAATTCCTGAGCTATCAACAATAAGCTGAATTAGAATTGTGAATTTTCCCCATCTCTTAACTGTCTTTAGAGAAAAATCATAAAAAATTTAGCTGTAAGGGGAAATGCATTTATTACATTTCAGCTGTTTAATGTTCCACAAAATGTAGATTTATTAAACCATTCAGCAAGATCATGCTTTATTGCTTTTAGCATTAGCTTCTTTTCTAAGAGTGATCTGCTTCTATGTAGTTTAAACCTAAGTTTAGTAAATGTTTTGAGAATCAGAATATTCATCAATGTCTAAGGCTTTGATTTTGCAAGCAGTTTTTTAAAATTATTGCCTCAGGATATATATATATATATTAGAAAGAGGAAGAGAGAGAGAGAAACATGTATGTGAGAGAGAAACATCAACTGGTTGCTTCCTGTACATGCCCCAACCAGGGAATGAACCCACAACATTGGTATGTGACCTGACAAGGAATTGAACGCAAAATCTTTTGGTGTGTGGGACAATGCTCTAATCAACTGAGCCACCCAGCCAGAGCTGCCAGCACTCTTTCTGATGCCTGCTTTTCTTCTTTAGTCTGTTTGGACACAGAACACTATCTACTCTGTGTCATTTTCGGTATTATGCCTTTGTGCACTTTGCTTTCTTGTAGACATGTTTACTTTTATTGTGATTTCTGAAGATCACATGTGTTTTCTTCTCAATATTAACCTTTACACCTAGAATCTTTTTAAGTGGGACTTTGTTTTAGTGAGGGGATTTCCAATAGGAGCATGCCACAAGAGTACAATACCTCTTCCTCACCCTGCTTCCCCTCAAAGTCACAAACGAATAAGATATATTCAGTCTCAGCCTTATTCCTAGAGGAAGGCAATTTAACTTTACCTATGAAGAGCTTTATTCTATGTAGCAAATGGATTATAGAAATTATCAATGAAATGCATACATTTCAGTCTAACTGAAGTCAATTCTTATACTCTACCTGATATAGTTGCTCTGACAATTTGAGGAAATTGGGGGATGAGTAAACTCTACCATTGATTTGCTCACTTATTGCACTGAAATGTCAGTTTTACCAAACATAACTGAAAAATGGGACTTAGCTTCCAGAATAAGAAAAGTGATGTGAACCATGCAGGTTTTCATTCAGAATTCTGGCCAATCATAGGCTGTCCATGGAAGGCTGCTTTTCTTCTTTGATCAAAATGGGAAGGATATAAGATGGCAAGGCAAGAGCTCATTTGTGTCAGTGTCTCTTGGTTTATGAGCTAGGTTACATTAGTAGCCTTGATAATATCCACCAGGGGTGAGTATGGGATGCACATTCCTGAGAATGTGCATTGCCCCTGGAGCTAGGCCCTCAACTGAGCCAACGATAGGGTGGGCAGTGGCTCTGGCAAGGCAAGAAGCCCACAGGCTTCTTCCGTCTGCAGCTTCACCGCCCTGCACGGCCACCGGGGCACTTGAGACATTTTCCCAAGATAAATACATCTAAATCCGGGTGGCTGTCTAAGGATTTACAGTACTGTACCTGCACAGTTCTTGGCTATCCTGGCATCCCCATAGTAGCCTGGGGCACAGCGTTCACACTTGAATCCAGTGGTATTACGTAAGCAATTCCTACACTGGCCAGTGATCTCATCACAATCTTCAAAAATCAGGTTAGGATCAGAATTTCCACTGCAGTCACATTTCTTACAGGTGTTTCCAACAAGCAAGGGGTTTCCATAATAACCAGGAGCACATCTGAAGGGGAATCACATGTTAAAAATTTAACAGCCATAGTTTTTCTTCCTTTTAATCTTCTTTCCCACCTAGAACAAAAGCGTAGTTAATATTTGTGGTTTGCTTTTCCAGAATTCATTCACATCTCCCATCTTCCTAATAGAACTAGACTTTGTTTCTAAGGAACCACCCCTCCCCAGTGTGTTACAGCCCATTCAGCATGGCCAGCCCTCCAGATGTAGGAGTGTCTGGATATGACCAATGTGTGGGAGTTTTTGGTCATTCCAACAACTGGCGTGCACAGCTGGCATATGATGGGTGGTGCTAGATACGCTAAATGAGACCCACTACTAGTGCACAGCTAAAAATGATCTTGGCCAAAGTGTTAATAATACCTTTGTTAAGAAACACCGATATAAATCACTGTCCACCTTGCTGTAGTGAATTGTTCAGATTAACCTAAATCTGAGCCACTCAATGCCTGGCACTATCCTGTCCAAAATGGATTGGCTCAGAGGTGATTCAATTGGAGTGTAGCCCAGGGCTCTTTTTTGAGGGTTTTAGGGAGGCATTCTTTTCATCTGTGGGAGAATGAAGAGTCAGGTGGTGCTCTTAGTTCTGAAGCCATCTTGTGACCGAGGAAAGGCAATGTGGAGACAAGGCAGAGGGCAGAGCTGAGGGTACCACAGAGAAACAGCTGGAGCCTAAGTAGCCATTATTCTGGACATTTTAGATCTCTGGGTCTACAGAGGCCAGGCACCTAACTACTGCATTTGTTGTGGGGGCACAGCTGGTGCCTTTGGTCATGCTGGCTGGGCCCGTCATGAGACAGCCTAGCCCCGTTGGAGAGTGGTGACTGAAATCCATCCAACCTTTGCTGGCCTGGCCAAACTGTGCACTCTAGGTGGGGCTGCCTCTGCTCAGAGGAACAAATGCTTTTCTCTATTTTTCAAAGGCCCTGCTGTGAGTGGTGGGACTGCAGGTCCCATCTAAGTGTCAGCTGCTACTTGGTTCCTGTCAACTGTTGCCAAATTGTAGCTGTGAGGGAATGGAGGACCTGCATTGCTAAATTTTCCTATTTTTAAACAAAGAAGTTAAAATTTGGATTTTATGTTTGCTGCGGACTGCAGGCTGGAATGGGGAGACCAGGGTGGGGTGTGGAGAGCCTGGGCTAGGGCATTGGTCTTGGGAATGGAAAGAAAGGGAGGACTTTCCAAGGAAATAAGTAAGGCTTGGTCTGTAGTAATACGATACTACATTTTAAAAGCTTCCATTTAAAGTAATAAAATTATGATTCAGAACATTTGAAAAATAGATAAATGAAAAATAAAAATCACACCTGTAATCCCAAGGCCCTAATGAAATAATTGTTCAACATTTTGCATATGATCTTCCAGCCTTTATTCCTACATTTGTTTTTTTGGTGTAGTTGTAATGATGGTGTATGTTCAGTCTTTACACCCTTGACTTGCCTTGTATCTCATAGCTTCCCCTGGGTGAGTTTACTTAGTTACCACAGACAACTGGGGGGTAGGCCACACAGGCCTGGCATTCTGAGGTTGAGAGGCTACTTGGTTTTCCAGCCTCACATAGCTAGGAAGTCACAGTGCAAGACCCAGACCTTCTGACCCTCATGTTCTTTCCTTCACTCCACCCTGGACCACACTGCTGCTACTATAAATGAATGAGTGAATTCATCCAACAGAGGGACAATTCATGTCTATTTTATGCAAGGCACAGAAAGACAGGAAGAGGAAAAATACACAGCCCATTCTGAAAGAACAGGAAACAAATGAAGCACAATCATACATAATATCTAAATTCTAGAAATTGAGGTCTATATAAAGATAAGAATGAATTAAAGTGTCACACAATCTACAAAGAGATATCCCCAAGAGAAAATGTTTAATGAATTTTGTTACTCATATTCATTCATGTCTTTGCACCTCTAATTTACTGGGCCTCTGGTCCCCAAGACAGCATAAATCATTCCTCTACGGAATACATGGCTGGATTGAATTTCTAACCTTTGCTGCAGTTCACTAAACAGAATATTAGACTCATTGAAATGGAACTCAGATCTACCCCCTTAATGTGCAGCTGGGAATCCTGAGGTCCAGGAGTGAAGGGACTTGCCCAAGCTCGCATAAGTCAGATGCCAGTTACTAGTACTTTCATTTCTCTGTTTAATTTCACTGTATTTGATCTTCATAGCTTGTCCCCTGGTCTTCCATAAGAGAAAAAAACAAATTCTCTATTCTGTAAGTCAGAATCTCAATCACAGTGGAAACCTACTTTAAGTTACTTTGAGTTTCAAGAACATCTTTTGGTGATAGGTTTGGTGGCAACTCTGAAGTCACAGTCCAACCTTCAACACTACAGATTTTTATAGGCTCCTCTCAGGATGGTCATGAGGCTGAGAGATGAGGATGTAAAGCTATGAGACACAGGAGACAATCAATGAAGGACACTATTTACTTCAAAGCCAGAATTTCTGTTAAGGAAACTGAGAGTCGGGGAAATGAGCCACCATGTCCCAGACACACATTATGCCAGTGGTGGAAACTGAACAATGACCACAGTGACTCCTACTGTCACCAGTTAGTTTCTATTGCGCCTGTATTAAGCACCTGGTGTCATACTAAAAACTTGGCAGCATCACCTCACAACAGTCTCATAAAGTGGGTATTTTCATTTTCTCCGTTCTGGAGATGTGGAAATAACTTAGAGGTCAAAAATAACTTGCCCAGGAGGATCACAAAGGGCTAGAGTTGAGATTCAAACTCAGCCAGGCTCTCTACTTCCATTTTCCAAACGAGTGCTCTCTCCTCCATCCTATCAATCCAGGCCCATCATAAGCACCCAATCTGATCCAGCCTTACGGGGTAATGGCAGGAGATCCTAGGAGCCTCTGCTGTGGGCCAGGGTTTTATCATCCACAATCCCACATCTCAGGTGGGCATGCTATTCTGTGCCAGGACCCCCACTGCTGCAGACAGACCTTTAGCTGCACCCTGTGCGATTTTGCAGAAATGAGCTCTTAGGGCTGAGATTACTTCACTTCTGGGAGGCCTTGCATTAGGTTAGCAGGGACCTATTTAAGGCCATTAGTTCCCCTCACAGGAGCCATGGAACACCCATTATCTGGGAATACAGCTCAATCCTTATCAGACTAAATTGAGTTTAACCTCAAACACTGGTGAGAAAAAAACTCCACCCCTGGATGATTAACAATCCTCTCAGACCCCCACTGAGAAAACAAAAAAAAGAATAAATCAAGTGCCTCATATTCCCGGGTCCCTCAGTAAGGAAATAATAGAATGAGTGTGTCGCCAACATTAATCAACCAAAGGTAATCTGATCATCTCTGAAAGATGAAACTCACATGGCCCTCAGCTTTTACTTTCCCTCTTCCTTTATAGCAAAAAAAGGAAAAATCTGCCCTAGCCGGTTTGGCTCAGTGGGTAGAGCGTTGGCCTGTAGACCAAAGGGTCCCGGGTTCGATTCTGGTCAAGGGCACATACTTTGGTTACAGGCTCCTCTTTGGTCAGGGCTCGTGCAGGAGGCAACCAATTGATGTGTGTTGTGTGTTTCTCTCACATCGATATTTCTCTCTGTCTTTCCCTCACTCTTCCACTCTCCCTAAAAATCAATGGAAAAATATCCTCGGGTGAGGATTAATTTCTTTAAAAAGGGAACAATCCCACGACATTGTGGCTTTTTAAAAAGAATTGCAGAACTACATTTTGAGAGATGGAGGCTGTTTTCTTTGGAAGTGAGTTGGCTTATCATTTAAGGTTTATGTTTTGACCCCAAGGCTAAGTCACATTCAGGATGGTCGGGAGTGTGGTGTGAGGAGGTGAGTACACTGCAGATGTTGGACTAGATGTTGGACTGGTCCCTCCTGCCCTTCCCTCTCTGTCTTTATGACACCACCTAACATTTTGCTGCCTAAACACAATGATGAAAATTAGAAGACCTCTATGTGAGATTTTTTTTGGTGAAACCATTTTATCATAGAAATCTGTGAGCAGTTGACAGGTGGGGAGAATGGAAATGTCTTGCCAAGAAATCATTCAGTGGGAAGCCTCGCATCTTTAGTCCCCAAGCCTTTCTTGATTGAGCAGAGCTCAGAGAAACTCAAAAAAAGAAAGTTAGGTGCAGATACCAAACAGGGATTCAGAAAATGCTCTCATGAATTTTTTTTTCCAGGGGAAGAAATGGTATAAAGACTGAGTTAAATAATAGATTCATGCTTTTTTCAGTGTATTTCAATGGATTGCTTTCATAGAGGATTTAATTTTGACTTTCAATTTTATTTCAGTATTTCAGTGCATTGCAATGTATTTTAAACTTATTGCTCTAATAGAGGATATGATTTATTTTTTATTTAACAAGGCAGCCTCACTCTCCATTAATTATATTACTGGTTCTTAATGATAGAGAGAGAGGGGAGTATTACCAAAACCATCCAGAGAATCTTTTTAAAATACACATACTCATTTTTTTCTTTCCATGTCCATTTATCCTGATGTGGCTCTGGCCTGGGCCCCTAGGGAGCATATTGTTATATCTGTGTCTGGGGCATGGGGTTATGAAATGCTATCTCCTACTCCTTCCTCTCAATCATTCACTTCAGCATCTATTGAAGGGGAGTAAGGCAGAGCTGATGAATACAAGCAACAGAAAGCTTCCTTTGGTCCACACAGAAAATGGTACATTTTATTAGCTTACCTTTCACAGTTAGGTCCAGCGTAGTTTTCTTTACAAATACACCGAACAGCTCCATTTTTTCTATAGCAGGATTCTGCAAAACTAGAATTGTAAGGGGATATTAGAAGTCAATTCCATAAATCATTGAAGAGACCTTCTTCAAATGGGTGTGGTCATTTGCTTTATTTAAAGTAAATCCTCTTCTTTTTTGAAAAGTTTAGAACAAGAAGGCTCAGACAGAAAATGCCACTCCATTTGTGAAGCCATTTTCCAGGTTCACCTTACTTATTTTTCCATAGAGGCATTTCATTATTTTTACTTGAAGCAGTGAGCATTTCAGAAAACCATATATTATATATAAATTCTAAAACACATTCCAAAGACAGATAAAATAAGCAAATTTTGCCTGCAATTTTAGATTTATGTGAGAATTTTCTCTTATTCCCATCACTTTCTGTGTATAAATTTGAAAGTTCCCCCTTTTTTATTCCCTAGATCTCTTCCTCTCTTCACAGTTATGAGCCAATTCTAAACTATCCTATATAATAAAAGGCTAATATGCAAATTGTCCCCTCAGGAGTTTGACCAATCAGGAGTTCAACTCCTCGCTATGATGTGCACTAACCACCAGGGGGTGGCTCAGAATGAAGGAAGGTCCCACCAGAAGTCCCTGATTGACCCTGATCACTGGCCAGGCCTAGGGACCCTACCCGAATTTTGTGTACCGGGCCTCTAGTACTCTATAATCTTCACAGAACCTTAATTTCTTTTATGTGCACCTTGAAGAATGGAAATAAAGGATGGAGGGACTGGCTTAGTTGATCAAAGTCACAAAGCAATCACTCAAGCAATAGGACCCACAGTAAAAGGATTCTAGTCCATGGAACCCCGCTCTTAATTCTTCATCTTCATTTTTCATAAGATAATAAAATTTAGGTCAGAAAAGTAATAAGAATATTAGTTCAGCAGAATAAATAACCAAATGAATTATTAAGACAGGGGAAGTGAAATATTACTCTGCACATGTTTGGATAATTCTACACTGACACGAATCCACCCATATGAGGTGGGTATAAAAAGTTTTACAGACTCTTAAATTAGTTTTGGCCTAGGTACTGTACAATCGATGGAGCGTGATCTGCTGTTCTCGCATTACTACATGTGTAAGCAATTTTACCCTAATGGGCTTTCAGAAGAAAGAAAATGGATGTGTTTGCTTTGTTTAAAGATATTTATAAAATCAAGTAAGAAAACAATATGTGCTTCTCAGTGAAAGGTAATACCCACAATTTACTTCCTTTAACAGTTTGATTAAAAACATTCCATGAAATTACATTTCTTTGGCCTTTACTCTTCATTTTGCTTGTTCTTATTCCTTAGCTGTCTTAAAGAAACACTGTCAGTGAAGAGTCCAGGACATGCATGTTTCTTTGAAGATGTTTCTCCCGGCAGCCTGCATACTGCTTGAAGAGCTGAAACATCTGCCAGTGTCTGGAGTCATCTGCCTTCAGCTAATGTCCTGCTGCTTCAAACAGATGACATTTTCCTTAATTGGAGCCATTACCATAGCTAATAGCAGACATGGTGGATGTCTGGCCAACCCCAAAATAAATAAATGAATTCTGGGCAAATGGTCCTTGGGAATAGCTGCGTGACCATTGGTCTCTGTGGTGGGAGACTCAGAGGCAATGCCAGCCGCGGAGGGTTCCTTCTTTGTTTTTCATCAGCATTAAATGTTTGTGTTGTATTCAGAGGAAAGTCTGTCTTGGCTGGGGAAATGAAAACACTGTGCCTTTCTCAGCCCGCACTAGCAGCCATGGCGCCCTTTCTAAGAGGAAAGGAGCCTTTTGCTCTTGGAAAACCCTCAAGGGAACTTAAAGAAAAATAGACTCAGCACTGTGTGTTGCTGAACTCCCTCAGACTTTATTTCCTTGCTTTCTGATGTGGCTATTGTAACTAGAAATCCAAATCCCGGGTCAAATAGCAGATCTCTGAGAGTGTGATTTAGATTCCACACGTGTGCCTTTCTGAACTCAAATCAAAGTCCTGGCAGTTTCATTTTTATAGAAAATAGAAATATGAATTTTAAAACAACTGAAAGAGGCGATGGTGTATTTGATTTTTGATAATATATTTGATTAGTGTTTGAAATCAGTTAACTGAGTCAATAATAAGGCCAGATCAAAGCCTGGAACTTCATAGCGTCCAAGCAAATTTGTCCTGTTTTATGATCACTGACTACCTCCCCACCCCCATTTTTGTCCCAGTTCCCCCCTCCCCCCAAGGGATTTGGGAAGTAGAACTATTGCCACTACAAAGAGAGCAGGTCTCTCACACCCTTCCTAATCCCTCAACATTCCCACATATGGCCTTTACTTATTAGGGATGTATTTTTGCTTTTGTATTCATGTTGAGCAGGTTTTTCAACCTCAGATCTGTATTATGGAGACTTCAGTGTTCATGTCTGTGAATATGCTCCTAACTGCAGAGCACATTTCCTAAGACCTTCACTCTTTGGAACTGGGATCCACTCTCACACACAGAGGTCCTTGATGCCTATGGGAACTTTTTCTCTTTCAAGGCAAGAAGGTTATTACCCAATTGGCAAGTTTCTGCTTCAATTATTTAAGAGTTAACAGCCCAGCCAGAGTGGCTCAGTGATTGAGCGTTGACCTATGAACCAGGAGGTCATGGTTTGATTCCTGGTCAGGGCACATGCCGGGTTGTGGGCTTAATCCCCACTAGGGGGCATGAGGGAAGCAGTTGATCAATGATTCTCTCTCATCATTGATGTTTCTATCTCTCTCTCCCTCTCCCTTCCTCTCTGAAATTAATAAAAAATATATTTAAAAAATAAATGATAAATAAAAGAATTAATGGCCTTCATAATAGCTGAAGTAACTGCAACTGAAATACTGGATAATCTGGCCTAAAAGGGAAAAAGTTGCTTTAGGAGCTTCATAATACTGCTGTATTTTGACTTATCTTAGTAAAGGCATGACTTTTTGATTGTTTTATTCACTACTGTGACCAGCAACTGGTATATGATTGGCACATAAGCACTCAATAAATATTTCTTGATTGCATGTAGACAAAATTTCTCAGTCAATAGAAATGAGTTCCAAAAGTCTTTTATCTCAAGGCATTAATGTCAGGTAATTTAGATTAAAAAGTCTTGTCATAGGAAAGGAATAAAAAATGCACAAGCTAGACAATACAATTAGCATTTGGGATTGCCTTTTTAATTCTCCTGTTAGTTTCTAAAAGCTTATAAACCTGTTTAGAGCAGTTAATGCTTTATAACATCTCTGTTTACATGGGAAAATGAGTGATACCTGTTATTAGGAGGTTGGAGGTAAATATATTTATCAAAATAACTATATCACATAAGAGAGTGACATGCTAAACATGTCATCAGATATGTTTGAGACTAATGTTTAAGAGCAGAATATTAATGAACAGTAAAACAATATACCTAGATGAGGCGACATAAATCAGGATACACTTGAGTGGAAATAACAGAACATTTAATGTTGGAGTTTTCTACTCTCACTCTCAGTACCATTCATTTTGTGCAGGTTATTAATACCATTGGACATGAAAAATTACAAAGGAAGGGCTGAGGCAGTTTAATGATTTCTAAAGAAAGATGGGGCTATAAAACATCTGACTTCTTCCCAGACTGTCAGACCCTCAGAGGATTTGAACAAATCACAAGCTATTAGGAGAAATGTTAATCAATATTGGTATTCAATTAAGGACAAAACATTAGGGAGACATTTGGTTGTTATCTCCTCTTTTTTTTTCTCTTTTTAAGAGTGTGTGTGTGTGTGTGTGTGTGTGGCAGTTAATTGAGGCCTTTTAAGTTATTTTATATGCATTGTTTAACTTAATTTTTATAACAGCTGTCAACTAATTATTATATCCAAACCTTTAGAACAGTTCCTGACATAGAGTAAGTGGAATGTAAGTGTTAAGAAAATATATAAAGTATGTGTTTACTGAAGCCAACATCCAACATACTCCTTTCTATGTGCAAGGCACCAACCCAAATGGTTCACACATAATATCATAGTCTAACTCTCTGAGGCAGATTCTGAGAGCAACTTTAATTTACTAAAAAAATCTGAGATCCAGAGTGGCTAAAGCAGTGATGGTGAACCTTTTGAGCTTGGCGTGTCAGCATTTTGAAAAACCCTAACTTAACTCTGGTGCCGTGTCATATATAGAAATTTTTTGATATTTGCAACCATAGTAAAACAAAGATTTATATTTTTGATATTTATTTTATATATTTAAATGCCATTTAACAAAGAAAAATCAACCAAAAAAATGAGTTCGCGTGTCACCTCTGACACATGTGTCATCTCTGACACGCGTGTCATAGGTTCTCCATCACTGGGCTAAAGGAATAAATAAATGGAACTAAGATCTGAATCTAGTCTCTTTGACCCCAATCCCATGGAAAATGAGACCTTGTCTGAGATCATACAGCTATTATGTGCCAGAGCACAGATATTGACCTAGTTTTATTACTCTACCTAAAGTAATATATATAATTGGATTTTGTACAGGGTTCCTAGAACAGTGTTCCAAAAACCCTTGGAATTTCAAGACTGTCTTTTGTCCTTCATAATGAGTTCCTTTTAACCATATCAGAGTTTATGATGATGAAGTGATTCTTGGTGATCTCCTACATAGCTTCTGGATAGAGGCTAGTCTGCCAGAGGAACCAACTACACAATTAGAGGATTGGAACTTTCAACCTCATCCCTCCCCCAACCTCAGGGGAGGGGAGAGGTGCTGAAGATTGAGTTTAATCACCAGTCATTTAATCAATCATGACTATGTAATGGAACTTCAATAAAGCTCTTCAACAGCAAGGGTTGGGGAGCTGCTGGGCTGGTGAGCACACTGATTTGCTGAAAAGATGCTGCCCCTGGAGAGTAAGCACACAGAAGCTCTGGTCCATCCTATCTCCTCATCCATACCCTGCCCTATGCATATTTTTCATTGGCCTGTCCCTGAGTTATTTTCTTTATAATAAAACTCATTTTTCTGAGTTCTGTGAGTCATTCTAGAGAATTACCAAACCTAAGTGGGGTTGAGGGATCCCTACATTTGTAGCTAGATGGAAAAAATGTGAAAAGCCTGGGGGCCCCATTTCAGCTGCTTCTGAAGTGGAATGAACCCTTAAACTCTGGGGTCTGCACTAACTCTAGGTAGTTAGTGTGAGAACTGATTGATTGTAGGACACCAAGTTGGTATCAGAGAATTAAAGAATTGGTTGATATTTGGAGAACCAAATACCAGTACACCATTTTAATTCTACAGTCTATCATTTTTAAGCCAATAAAATGGCTAACCATGACTAGACTATTGAATTTACTAGTATGCATATTAGCTACCTGGAAAGAAATTCACTATTTCCATTAAGATGTATATCTATGCTCTTTAACTTCTCACTCAGGCCAAAACACAACCAGAGGTGAAAATTAGTTTTCTTGGATATCTTCTATGAGGTGATTAGCCTAAAGCATGCATTCTGTTTGTGTTCTAATTCTGATTAAAAATCCTTTTTGGCTGCAATTTATAGGGAAATATCTGCTCTATCAGAGTTTAAAGAAAATATTGGATTATAATGAATCTATTGGTGTTATCAGTTGTGATCTCTCTAGGTCAGGGGTAAGCCAAGAATAGCTGAGATTACCCTTGCTTATAAAACTTGGGAGACTTCATTAACTTTATGGTGAACCCCAATATTTTGGGAATGAAGTCATCACATACTAGTATACTGCAAGCACTTAAGCTTCCCTGAGAGTATATTTAGGCTAGATAGCTTTCCTGTATCTTTTTCAATCTCATCTCAGCATGAGGTACTCAGTTTTGACAATGGGAAAACCTTAGAACTCTGGATAGAATAAAAAAAATGGGGGTGGGGTGGGGAGAGATAAGCAGTAGAAGGGATCATCTTCCTTTAGGACTTACTTGGCCAAGTATGGTAGTGGACAGGGACATGGCTGACAGAACCGGGGTGGTCCCCTGATGGCATCTCCAATATAACCATCTAGGCATTTCTCACAGTGCTCTCCTGTTGTGTTCCTTTGGCAGTGCTATAAGACAAAAGATAGAAAAATTGACAAGGACACAAAAGAAATTTTACAGACAGAGAATCTGGGAACCAAGTGATACTGCCAGTAAAGAGGATGTCAGGCTTGACAGAGATGGTGTGCATCAGTACTAATTATCACAAAGGATACACGTTGCCCCCAGTCAGTGCTAGAAAGTGTGCACAATGATGCATGACTTAGACCTGGACTTCTGTGTGAGCACTAGCAGCCTGGGATTCTCGTTACAGTTTGTGTGCTTTTTCAATTCAGAATGCTAATCAGAATGTCAAATTCTGGATGTTGTGGAAGCATCAGCTTACTGACTTGGAATGAATATGAAATGGAAAAAAAAAATCTTCCTTGTGCTCACCCATGACACAGGGAACAATTTAAGAATTTATGGCAAGCATGTCAAACTCGTGGCCCGCGGGCCGCATGTGGCCCACAATGAATATTTTTGTGGCCCAGCCAATATAACGATATGTAAGAAACATTTTAATAAAAAATGTTGTAACTTAATTTTTACAATATCCTGTTATACATAATCATTAATAATGAACTACAACATTCACTAATGACTGATTACTATACTCGTGTTGTATTCATTTCCCTTATGTGCCTTATGCACAGGCGCACCATTTGTCTCCACTAATACTAGCAGCGAATATTTTAGCAGCCGATTGCCACATCATTAGCCTTGTACTGACTTATTTGGTGTGCACAACAGGAAATATTTTGCTTTCAGAGAATAAGAAAACTAGGTTTATTTGCAGTACGTTTATTAATTTGTGCAGTTATTCAGTGTCCGGTAAGTTAATGTTCAAGAAAAAATATTAATTTTTATTAAAATGTTCTATTATTTTATGTTAACGATTACTTATTTATTTCAGCCCTTTGTATTCAGTATGTCTCTATCAAAATAAACCTATGTTTCTATGAAAATTGAAGCTTTTGTTTTTTTTGCGGCCAACACAAACTTAAACCTTGTTTATTTGGCCCGTGTTAGCCTTTGAGTTTGACATGCTTGATTTATGGGCATGGAAGAACAAAATGTGTTATTCTGAAGTATAAATGTAATGGAAAGTAGATAAAGAATATACTGTTAATGGACTGGTATCTTGTATGGTGACATACAAGAAATAGTAAGCTGGTTTATTTGTATGATTTATCCATTTGTTGTGAGGGTAATTAGAAAAAAAGCACAAAACAGGCTGATTTTTCTGCCTAGATGCCTGTTCATCATTTGAGATCTTTATCTGGTCTCAAAACTTCCAGGAATTCCTCCGTGATGCTTCTCTCCTGCCACTGCACACATTATACTGTTATCATCTGCTCCCAGCTTGTGTCTTTAACCAGTGCACTGCCATCAACTTGAATGGAGTAGGTACTCATAGCTCTTTGTCCAGCTGATGGGTTGATTTCTGACTAGTACTCTGTAAGTGATGCTAGTTCACTGGTAGTTTTCTCCACCTGGACTAGCCTGGATTGCACAAGGCAATGCCATTAGCATCCTATGTAATAAAAGGCTAATATGCAAATGGTTGTCACACCCTCACACGACCGACCAATCAGCAGGAGGCTGGGTGCGCAGCAGGCACATACAGGGGCGGGGCAGGGCTGCGTGTGTGGCGAGGCGTGTGTGGGTGGGGGGGCTGCGTGTGCGACCGGTCACCAGGAGATGCATGGAGCACCTCTTGGTCCTCCCCTCCCCCCGGCTCCTGCGGGTAGTGGCGGCCGCTCACGCCCGCCTCCCACTAGTGCCAGAGGCTCACTCCTGCCTCCTGCAGGTGCCTGTGGCTCCCGCCAGCTCCTGTGGAAGCGGCAGGCAGCCTACTGTGTGCGATTTCACACTCTGAGCCACTAGTTAAGATATGTTTATCTTTACATTCACCAAAGTGTTTAAAGATTCAACAGGGTTAGAATCAGAATGCCATTGAAGAGACACCCTCCTGTTTGAGCAATTCCCTTGGTAAGACCTATGCACAGAGCTTCAACAGAATTAGTTTTTTTCCAAACAGTGCTCTGTGAGGAAGCCTGGGGAAGGCAAAATGGAGCAATAGTAGGCTGAACTCTGAGGTCTTTAATCTTTATATGCTATGTTGAGGCTCAAAATAAAATAATGGTGAGGCCCTGCTGTAAACATTTTACATAGATTAATTTGATTTTCACAATAATTCTAAGGAAAGTTACATTTCCTCCCCCGTTTTACATATGAAGAGATGACAGCACAGAGAAGTTAAGGACATTGCCCAATGTCAGGCAGATGGAGAGGCTATTCATTCCCACAACATACTGCTTCTCCAGTGTGTTGGAGAAAAGGCTTCTTTCCAGAAGAGTCACAAAATCATTGCATCAGAAGTTGTCAGGCTATTTTATGAATAGTTTGAGCTTCAAAGAAAGTACAGCACACTAATAAAAAAAAAAAGAGGGATACTATTGTGGCAACAAGCTATCCTAGTTGAACACCCTTTGCATACTTAATTGGTCATCTTTGGCTCCTGATTAGAATTATGTTAGAATGGAATTTAGGGGATAGTTCAGAGTGCCTGATAGATCAGTGAAAATTCTGAAAAATAAAATCTGATGTGCAGACAACCGGATGTTAGCATAGTTCCCTCACTGTGTCTTGTCAGGAAAAAAAATGAAAGAAAAATTGGCATAGGGTGAATTAGTCAATTGATATCTGGAGCAAATAAAGGAAATTAACACTCACCCAAAGCCAGCTAAAAACTAGTGGCAATCTCTCATCCCATGGAAAACCAATGAGCCTTGTCCAACCACCAGGAATCTAAGCCATAAGCAATCTGGCAGGGCTACTTGTAGACTGGGGTCAAATTTGTCTGAGTCCTTGTTGGACAGATGAAGCCCATCTGTGCAGGCCATTCTTTGTGCCTGGAATGCCTATTAAGTTGCAAAAAATGAGCTAATTCCCAATTCTGTCCCCTTATGGCTCAACAGATGCTTTGGATTCCTTGTCAGGGCTCTAATTCTGCCAGAGCAGCCACAGGAGCAATAACCAAATCTCTCCAGCCTCTAAATGTGCAGAGTGTAAACACTGACTTTCCTCATCTGTCTCCTTTTAAAGGGTTTATAATGAAATTTCCTAAAAGGCACTGATGCGCAGTCTGGGAGATGGGCAGAGAGAATGCTGGAAGGGACTGGCTCTTCCATTTTTAGCTGGTTGATTTTGAACGAGTCACTTGCCCTTTTTGGGTCTCTATTCTCAGGATCTAGACTAGAAGGCCTATAAAATTTCCTCTAGCTCTCAAAATTGTTTAATCTGATATTGCAAATATCCCTTTACCTTCAATACTCTGCCACTTAAAAAATCAGAAAACAAAAATGACAGCAATCAATAAGTATGTTGTTAGAAGGGAAGAGTTATTTTTAAATAAACCTGACCTCACTCAAAAATGTAAAAAGCATTCTGAATCTTTGGCCAGTGGTTAAGAAAGCTACTATGTAGACAACCAATTGCACATTGGTAATAGGAAGGATATTTGGATAAGAGCTGTGTCTCCTTTTTTTTTTTTTAATATATTTTATTGATTTTTTACAGAGAGGAAGGGAGAGAGATAGAGAGTTAGAAACATCGATGAGAGAGAAACATCGATCAGCTGCCTCCTGCACATCTCCCATCGGGGATGTGCCCGCAACCCAGGTACATGCCCTTGACCGGAATCGAACCTGGGACCCTTCATTCCGCAGGCCGACGCTCTATCCACTGAGCCAAACCGGTTTTGGCAGAGCTGTGTCTCCTTTACATTAAAAGTGATGTCTCTTACTGATTTGGCCACAGTACCAGCACAATGTAGGAAGAAAGCCTGAAGGATCAGATTAGCCTTGGTGTGGTTTGTCACATGCTTTGTGCAAGACTATAGTCTATCTAGATCTGTGTTTTTTGAAGTATGCCCGGAGGTGAAGAATATTTTCATAATAATACCTAGATTTTATTTTCTTTGACACTCTAGTTTTCTCATGTGTGTAAGGTGGAGTCCTCCTGAGGCTACAAGACAGGCGATATCACCACAGATTGATGCAGAAGCAGACGTGAGATCTAGCTGCCTCCCATTAAACTGGACATTAAATATACTTTCAATATGTAAATTTACATGCAATGGATTTATTATTGTTGTTTTCAAATAAATTAATAGAAAAAATATTATTTAAAATTTTCAGTTTTAAATGTCAGATGCTGAAAATATAGATATAACCCACATAAAGAAAAGTCATTTGGCAAGCTGAATAATTCTTACGAGTGTAAAGGGCTCATGAAACAAAAAAGTTGGAGATATGCTGCTCTGTCTGAATCAGTGATTCTCAAACTTTACTGTGCACATGAATGCCCCGGGCATCTTGTGAAAATGCAGGTTCTAATTAAGGAAGTCTGGAATATGGCCTGGGTGTCTGCATTTTTAACAAGCTTCCAAGTAACGTCAGTGTTTCTGGCCTAGACTGTACTTTGAGAAGCAAGTGTCTGCCTAGTTCTTCAGCATTGAACTTGAGCTGAGTCTCTAGCATAACAGACATTACCTTTTCCTGAAATAGTGACTCAAGTGTCCCATAAATTATAAAATCAAAGGTTTGTGCAATTAAGCTAGTTATTTTATCAATCAGTTCATTCATTCACTTAACAAACCTAGATTAAGCTGATATCCTGATAGATAATGAGCTGTGACTGTTACTAAAATGAAAAAACATTGGTTCCTTCCTTTCATCAGCTCACAGACTTGTGAAGGAAACAGAGATAAACAAAGAATAATATAGTATTTGTGCTCTGAGGTATGCATTCAGTACATTCTTGCTGTGGGACAAAGAGGAGGGAAAGATTCTAGCTTTTCCTGAGAAAGTTGGAGAAGCTTAGTAGAGGTGGTGACATTTGAGTTAGGCCTTGAGGGCTGAGCAAGAACAGGGGAGAGGCAGAGAACTTGGAAGTACAAATTGGGACAGACTACAAGGGCACAGAGTGAGTTTAGAGGGTAGCGAGAGGCTCAGTGGGCTTGGAATAGAAAACCCTGAAGAATTTTAAAAAGGCGAATGCCGTGATTGGGTTGTGTTTTTGAAAGGTGTCTCCGTTGCTAGTGAGGAAGACACAACAGGAAAAGAAGAGTCTGGAGCAGGCATTCCTACCACCAGCCATCTCTCTGCCCCATAATTCCTTCCTCAGGCCTCCTTCTGGAGTTTTCCTGGGGACCTGCCATATGCACTGGAGTTGCTTGGCTTTTGGGGCCCTGCCTGCAAGACTCAGCTGAGAACTCTTCCCAATGTGTTCTGGTTCTGATAAGATGCAAGATGGCCTTTTTGAAAGACACCAATACTGGTTGGACTGCATTAGTTAAGCCACTTTTCTGCATTTGATAACTTAACATTCCTCTTGTGAAAGAATTTCTAAAAATGGTAATATAACTTTATCTACTTTATATTTTATTGTCAAAGGTCGTAGTTCCTTAAAAGCAGCCTGTAAAATATAAGGTCACATTGAAAGAATTAGAAACAGTTGAGAGAGGATAAGGCAGAGGCATTATAAGCCTTTAAAATAAAATAAAATAAAATAAAATAAAATAAAATAAAATAAAATAAAATAAAATAAGGCCTTTTATTTTTAGTTTCTTATGGAAGATGAAAGGCATGGGGTAGGCCAGGTGAACTGCAGCAACTTATTGAAACTCTGGTGCCTGCAGTGAGCTGCAAGGAAGTGTTCATGTGGAGCTGTTGCTTCGCAGGCTCTCTGAGAACTGAGAAGGAGGTGGGGCTACAGAGCAGGAGCTGAGACACTGGCTCTGGTCGACCAGATGGCCAGAATTACAAATAAATATGAGTTTGATTCTTGTGTGATACTATAGACAATATATTTGCCAACTAAATGGCAACATATTTTTTCTATATTACCTCTTCTGCTCCCTCACTTGTGCTTAATTAAACACAAATTACATTTTTTTGTCTTTCAAAATTAAACTTATAAGAATATACTTATTATGTTTTAGCTCTGGGGGATGAGATAGTGCTTGATTTTTCCTTTGGATCTCATGTACAGTATATATGTGTAGTTGTTGTTTTGTTTGTGTGTTTTTAACATATATTACTTTAACTAGGGAGAAAAATATTTCCCTCCAGGTAGGGTGGGGTGGAGGAATCACCATTAGGATGAATAGGATGGCTATTCTTTATCTCTTTTTTCCATTGTTCTGTCTTGAAAAAAGTAATTGTAGGAAGATTGGCAACTCCCTTGAGTGTGCATAAAAGTGTTTTACACCATAGCCCATCCCTAATTTTATTAGAACCTCTTATGGCCCAGGTGCTGTGGAGGAATCACAGGATGGCTGTCCCTTCAGAAGCTCATGGCTAGTCAGGGGAAACCCGTGAGAGCTCCTATTTTGACAAGTGTCACTGTCAGCAAGAGCGGCTTTGTCGTGGCTCTCCACAGGCACTGGCAGGAGGAACTTATTTCCCTTTAAGCTGTTTGTCTTCCCTCTTATTGACTGCCTGACTAACAATAGCTGATGGACTTTCAAGTCCCTATTGACTTATATTTTAATAAGCCAGATAACAAAGAGCCTTTATTTAGTCAAACTATCCGAGCTGTACATTATTAGTTCAAGTGCATCCATGGGATTTTCTTTTCAAATGTCACTGGGATTAAAATAACAGGAAACCGGAGATGGAAGCATTAGAAAGGGGTAGATGTTGGCAGCTGCATGTGCCTACACTGCTACAGAGGACATCCTGGATGTAATGGTTATTTAAGAAGAGGGGGGAAGGGAATACAGAAATGCCAGGACTAAGCAAAAATACAGACAACAACTGTTATTGTTTGCCACTTAATTCTCTCTGTCCCTAGAACAACGGCAACTGCTAGGTTTAAAATAAATGAAAACATTCTAACTTGCATTTTAATGTAAATCATGAGTAAAATAACACCTTCATGTACACACCTTGGAGCCCACTTATAATCAAAATGACCTGCTTACAAGAACAATTATGTTAATTTTAAGGTAAATAGGTATACTTAATTAAATATTCTTATATTTTATGCAAAAATACTCTTGCAGTTCTGGAAAGCCTCTTTTGTCTCATAGGAAACTGAAGAACCTAATTTTCCTTCATATGCAATATAGCTTATGAAGGAAAAATATGATCTTAGGGCACAAGTCTTTAAAAATGCCTGCTATGACTCCTACATAAACTATTTCTGGTAAATTTTTCAATTCCCATTTTCACTAAGTTGTCAGTCTATTTAGTGGAAATGGAAAATATGTAGCAAGTAGTTTTTTGCTAGAAGGCTTCTAAGTCTTCTTCATAAGTCTCTACCATATTTCACTGAAGAACAGTCTATTGAAGAATTCATTTCAGTTAAGAAAAAAAAAAGTCTTCTGGGGGTTCGATCACAGATTACAAAGACCACAAGGCCAAAGCTTTCATTTTTATTAGCAATTTGGTTCGAACCTATTTTTTTTTAAATTTTGACCTGTAGACCTGACTACCTTATAAATTGTAAAATAGTCTATGAAACAACTGTTTTACTCTCCCAGTTTATGTGGAGCGAAGCCAAACATATGGCAAACTATATTATTACAGAGGAATTTGGATGGGTGGTTTCCTCCTATGTGTGTTCTTTTCAATCGCTTGTTGGCCCACAGCAGGAAGCCAGCTGCAGAGGGCGGTGAGGCACTTACCCCGAGGGGCACGTGCCCATTCAGACACAGGCCTCGGTGGCCACTTGCAATCATAAGCAGTTTATATGGGGTGTTTTACAGGAAAAGGTGAAGGGGAAGAAAAAGAGCTTCATTAGCAGTTTGTTCCTAGGTAGCTCCAATGTCCAGGAAAAATATTTTATTCCCACCCACGATGCAAAGGGCCAATGAAATCTGTGAGAAGTGCCCCCGACCTACCACACAGAGTCCAGAGCCGTTCAGGCATTCGTTGGAATTCCCGTTACAGTCACAGGGCAAGCATTCTCCCGACTGGGCAAGAAAGAACCCGGCGCCACATGTCTGAAACAGACACAACAAAAGTATTTCCATTATTGAAACGATCAATTTTGGTCAATATTTTCTGAGAAGAATAAGAGGATATGATTATGAAACTATCTAACTATTTCTTTACAAAACACACTAAAAGATTTATACTAGCATTCAGGGATAGGTGATGTATATTCAATTTTCTTCGTTACACATTTTTCCTCTCTTCTTTCACTTTGCTGGAAATTAGGAATAACTTTAACAGTGTCCCATCATTGTAAGGAAGAATAAGAAAACTTTAGGTAACAGTAAAAGAGAAGAAATGTTTTCTTCCAAAACAAAACAAAACAAAACAGGAAACAAAGCCATGGCTATTTGGATGAGGAATCGCATCATGCTCCCTATAGAAATGCGTGGATTCAGAGGTTATTGGCTATGGTATAACAACTTAGAGCTGTGTCTTTTATAGCTTGGCCTTTTGAACATTTTTATCTTTTCAGATCCTAAAATTCTAAAGGACAGATCCTATGTGGGCAGTGTTGCTATATTTCATTTATCCTCACAACTCTGTGAGGAACACATTATTTCCCTTCATTTTAGTGATTAGATCATTAGACCCAGAGGTGGGTTGTGGCAACGTTAAACCACCTTCCAATGCACAGAGATGAATTTTTACCAGTGTTCCAGCTGAGAAACGTGGTGAGATTGTTCCTGGTTCATGCAATTGGTTTATAGATACGTATTTTGTGTTTCTGTCTCAATGATGTATGGTAGAAATGGCCTATAGACCAGGAAGTCTACTCCCCGCCCACCAGACAGATGTACATCTAAAGAATTTCAGGCAGATAAGAATCTAGGTTGTTATCACAAACTTACAAAGCAGGAGATTTCACATCACCACCTCACCCCCACCCCCCGCCCACAACTGACCCATTGCAGTTTGTGCTGTCTAGGCTACCAGGAAATTTTTCATTATATTTGGCGGAAATTCCTCCGACTGCTATGCAAACCCATTTCCTCTTACTTTTTTTTTCTCTGTAAAGAAGGAAAATATCACTAGACACCATTTACAGTATAAAAACACCACCAGTTTGGATCCTAAAATTAAAATATAATATATTCCATTTGGAGAAATTTTAATAGAGGATAATGACATTAGCCCATGAAGAAAAGGCAAAGAAATATCATTTTACTAAGTGAGAGAAAGTAAGGCTGAGAGAGAACAAATTTATAATGTATCATTGAGAGTTTGTGGATGATAGTAAGCTTTTATTTCAGTTTCCACTAGAGACCAAAGAGAGGAAAAGGTGCTAAAATTGCACTGGAAGTATTTAATTTAGACCATCTAATTTCATGTTTTTGACTTTTGTTTCAAAATATAAACACACTGGTTTTCATTGTTATGCAGTATATACAGGGTGTCCCCCCCAAAAAATATACACACTTTGAATAATTATTAATTCCAATGGGGTAAATCTGAAAAGAAACATTAATCAAGTTATCAAAAATGTATGTGAGTACATTTTTGGGGATATGCTATATACTTACATATACACTTTTTCTGAGTTTCCTACATATATATATATATATATATATATATATATATATATATATATATCTTACACATCTTCATTTTATTTAAAAATATATCTTGGTCATGAGACATAAAGTTGATTTGATGATGTTAACTGTTTTTCTTCTTGCAATTCGACATGAAAAGCGTTTTAATTATAAGATAAATGGATAAAAGAAGTGAGGAGATTCCTATTAGTCATCTTAGTAGCTGCCAAAAGAGTGGCTTTTGAGCTCCCTGACCATGTTACAGACATCTGAGCTTCTGAGTCAGTAATTCTGATGATAAAGCCAAAGAATCTGTATTTTTTAATAAGATAAATTTTGTATTAAAATATTATTTTAATTAATTCTTCTCCCCCAGCTTTATTGTAACATGATTGACATGTAACATTCTATAAATTTAAGGTGTACAATGTGTTGATTTGATACATGTACAAACTGCAAAATGATTACCATCACAGCATTAGCTACCATCTCTATCATGTCATGTAATCACCATTTCTTTTTCTTTTGAGAACATTTAAGATGTATTCTCTTAGCAACTTTCAAGTATTATTAACTATCATCACAGTGCTGAACATTAGATACCCAGAACGTGTTAACCTTATAACTGGAAGTTTGTACACTTTGACCAGCTTCTCTCCATTTCCTTCATTCCTGACCCCAGCCTTTGTAAGCACCATTCTGATCTCTGTTCTATGAGTTGCAATGAGTGGGGCAGAGACTGGAGGTGTATTTGCAGCAGAAAAGCACACTGATGGTGGCAAGCAGTCTGGGAGTGATGCCTGGAAACAGTACATGAGATCCACTTGTACCATCAACTACGGTAAGGACCATCAACTCAAGTTTCAGTAAAGCTGTTTTAAATTGATATTACTTCCAGTCTTTTAGGCATTCCTATAGCTCTTTCTTCTGAAGAAGACAAAGAAAATTCAAGCTTTCCCTTAATAAATGCATCATTTTGAATATGACAGTGGCTAATCCCTTATATCCCCAAGGCTCTGGCTAAATCAAGACTCATTTTCTAAAAATAAAATTGTCACAACATAGAAAAAACAAACAAAAAGAAACCCTAAAAAGTGGTAAAATTTGTATTTTAGAATAGTTTTAGTTCACAGAAAATTACAAGGGATCTGTTCTGGGTTTTTTGTTTGTTTGTTTTTATTGTCCCTAGGGGGCATTCTGGAAGAATGTGGGGCACTTCTGGCTTGCCATAGGGAGGGCATGCTGGGCATGGTGCAGTGTATGAGAGTCCCACACAATAAAGCGTTATCTTTCATTCTATGAGATTTGGGAATGTCCAACACAATCTTCCTGTAGGTTAAAAGCCTGTTCCTCTGAACCCACAAGCTAACTTCATTTCTCATGTTAAACACAAAATGTTTTTGCAAGCTTTTAATATGCAGTGCATTTTCCAAGTACACAACTACCATGTAAATCAAGGGAAAATTATTTGGTTCTGCATCATATCTCAATACATAAGTGCTAGAGCATGACTACAGAAGGCAGAGCCCAGCGAATCGTCAGGAATACAACAGCTACAAATGCATGTGGATGCAGGTGTGTTGAACCAGTGATTCCAATGCACCAGAGGTTTTAGTGTGAGTGATGTAAGTTTCTCAACATGGAAACTAACTTGATGACATTCTGACTAAAACAAATGTCCCTCAAGGATTCCAGTGTGTGACCAGATTTGGAAGGACTGCTTCCAAGTATCACTCACAGTGCCTGGTACATGTTCATTGCTCAATGAATGCTTGTGATTTGAATGGTTTGGATCAGGACAGGAAATCTGAGACATATGTGTTGTTGGAAACCAATGGTTTTTACTGCTAATCCACCCACTGCTTGCTGTTTGTGCTGGATTGGGTCTCCAATCTTTCTCAACACAGTCCAGACAGCCAATGCGTAGACTGGATGCGTGCAAGATGAAATCTTTATGTTATGCCAAGTTTAGGAGGAAACTTCACTCTGAGAATCTGTGGTTATCCGTTATTCACTCCCCAGGCCCAGGCCCAGGCCTTGTGTGAAGGATGACTTGGCTCCAGTCTTTTCTACTGTAGGAGATGGGAAGAAAGGGAGGCAGGGATAAGTTTGTGTGAAGCAGTCATTTGGCCTCCTGCCGAGAAGGTGAGGTTGAGTGTGGAAACCTGGCCAACTCCTTTCCTGCTGGGTTTTGTACACCTGAAAGGATTATATTTTCTAATTCATCTATTCAGAGGGGAGGCACCATTTTTAAATTCACATAAAGGCACCACACAGGCTAATGGAAACCCTGGTCATAAGGAGCTTCTGATGCCATTACTAGAGCCCATATACTTGGGTGCCTTGGTCCTTGTGAGGGAGAAAGAAACTTTTCTCTACACATCTAGGTTCTTTTGGTTGGTCTAATAATCCAACAGATATGAGACAGATTAACAAGAGAAAATAACCAAACTTAAGTGCACTCTTACATATGGGAGCCCCACATACACAAGAGAGTCAGAGACCCCACATGAGAGGTTCAGAGACAGAAAGGGAAAATGGAGTGATAATGATATTCTCAGCTAAGGGATGCAGTAAGAGCCTTGGGGCTTAAAAGGGAAGGATGGTCATGTGCAGAATGTTCACTAATTGGACATTTGCCCTGCCCTATAGATAGGTCATAAAAGGTTCTTTCTGGTGATAACTCTTTTTAGGGGCAAAGTTCTTAAATTCTTTAAGGGAAGAGTAAAATTTTGGCATGAGATTGCAGTATCTTGATTGTCTTCAGCTCAAAAGAATTTACATGTCAAAGTATCACATTTTGGGAAGGCCTGTTCTGAACCTCTCTAACCTTCTGCTGTAGAACTTTAGAGTATTCCCTGGAGTGGCAAATTATTAAGTGGTTCTGTTAGCAGTGGCGGGAAAGGCACCAAGTGTTAGACCCATAGGGTCAGACCGGACCTGGGTTCAGCAACCTCAGTACTTGAGTTCTGGCTAGGAAAGAATTCAGAGCCAAGACTCAAAACTGTAAGAGGACATTTCCATTTATTTGGAAAATCTCAGAGATGGAAGAAGTAATTCATAGAAGAAACGGGCTTCAGAAAAAGTTATAGAGGCAAAGGAAGGGCCCCAGGAGCTTGGGACTGAGGAAGGTAAAGGTAGTGTCTGGTGGGGGAGAGGAGCGGGGATAGGGGAAGGGGAAAGGGAAAGTTGCAGGCTTGTTTCTGGAAAGTGTCCTGCCTCTTAAGCAGTGGTTCTCAACCTTGGCTGCACATTAGAATCACCAGGGAATCTTTTTAAATCCTGATTTCTGGGCCTCATTCTGGAGGATGAGCCAAGGGTGAGAACCACTGCTCTTAAGGGTTTTAAGGGTGGAGATTTTAGGGGAGGTCCTAAGGGAAGATCTCATTATAATATTCAGCAGCTTTCCAGGTGTGTCCATTCAGGGTCTAGGTCTCCACTGATTGGTCAGTTCCAGGGCAGGGGGTCATTAT